GCCCTTAGTGAAAACAAAGTAATTCTTATCAAGTTACAACGAAACGAATGTCTTCCGGCAACCTGCTAGTTAGTTCCCACAGGAGAGACATTAATAAACATTAAGATTCGCATCGCTATATTGAAATGGCTGCTAAGAAACCCTACCTACACATTATTGAAGCACTCTGAGAATAGTCCAATTATACGTATCTGGCAGCACGCAAGTTAGCAGACGAACATGAAATCAATCCGCTATATCATTTTGATACAATCAGTGTGCATAAGGAATCTACAAAATAATTACTTTGTGCTATGTTACGTAAATAACGTAGCTAGAAATAGAGTGTCTTCTATTCTGTGTTACACTTTAATCTCTAAATTTAACTTTGTAGTATTGCCGAAACGCGTGAACGTAATCGAATCAACCTATAATACTGGGGAGGCTTGGCGCCTTTTTCGAGCAGCTCAATGGCTTGGTAACGCGTAAAAAACAACTTTCGTTTTGAATTTCGCATTGATCGTCGTAACAATACACCTTCATTACTCAGCTCAAATTATTCTGCTTGTTTGTTTTCGTCTGCCATGGCTTATGATGCTTGGCTGAAATTCTTTTGGCCTAAACACGATTCAATTTGTTCTGAAGCGCGTCCGTAGGGAGCGATACTGAGCCACAGTAACCGTGTGCTAATTTCGAAATATTTGATAGGACCCTCTAATCGATGAAAATGGAGCAGACAACACCTAAAATTTCAAAACAAAGCAGCCCCCAAAAAAGCTGGCTCTAATTTCACGTCGAGCATTGTATACGCGTGATCCTAGTGAGGCACTATTATGCGGTTAAATAAACGTTCTATAATCAGGACAATCCAATCGACATCAACGAATTCGGCATTTGGATCGTATTTCGGTTCAGGTTTTGATTATCCATAAAACGAGAGAACGAGCCAATTAATTTACCGCTTCTTCGTCACCGAACGAACGAACCTGTTCATAGATACAAATTAAACAATCAAAAAGAACAGCAAACCGTAGGTAACTGGCAAGATAAAAGATATGAAAAGAAAAATGCTTAACAGAGTTGAATACGGACAGACGAGGTATACTGAATGTTAGGACGTTTAGTTACGGTTTGTTACCTATAATTGTAAGTTTTTATGATACGTAAGTTGAGTGGTCAGTTTCAGGCCATTATAATCAACTGGCTCTGATTTTTGCAACTGCTTTTTACAATTGTTTATTCACTTAAAAAATATATATAAATAGCACGGCATTCTAACGCCATTGAGCAAGAGTCCCATAAGGTTCGCTTACTTATTAAGAAAACATTCGCATAAGGAACATATGAAACTATCTATCTAGGTCCCGAATCGGGGTTGCAGTGTCAAGGAATGATAATTATATTGACGAAACAAGACCGTCAGAAATGACATTTCTAGCACTTGTGAAAGATTTCGATTTTATTTCACTTCTATATATATATATATATATATATATATATATATATATATATATATATGACTCTTGGTTTCCTAGAAAGCTTTGCCTATTTGAAACTGATCTGCATATCTGCTTCTAAATCTGACATTGTTTGGTCTTACGTCGTTTAGATATAACTGGTTACTCACGACCACCATAACTGCAAGCGTGTCCGAGTTCTAAGGAACTAAAATAAAACGGCAACTTCGCTTACTGAATTCAACGAGGTCAATTTTCAGTGTCGGTCTCCTCATGTGCTTGCGAGACGAGCGTTACCTTTCCGGCTTTGAAAAGATATTGCCTTTACTCAATACGATTCATCATCCACTCGTAGGTGAGTGTTCAAGTCCTTTGTGCACTTTCGATACAACTGTCTAATATAGCTGGAGCAAACTGCCTCAGCTAAGGACAGGATTGCACCGATCAACTGCGGTAAGGGCACGAAAACAGGCGAAACGAATCGCTTCCACTTCTGGCCCATCAATTTGACTTTTTTTTTTCTTTCGTCTTCTTCTAGCGTCCAGCCAAGAAGCGTAAAACATCTACTTTTTTGTTTTAATAATAAATTACGTCGTTAACAAAGTTGAAAATAATTCTCTTCATTACTAGCTAATATACAGATTGCTAAATCGAGTATTTTATATTTGGTATTTATTTCATCATAGCCCAGTATTGCTTACCGACCAGACAAACCTTATTGCTTATTCGATATGTACACTGCTTCAGTAGAACTGTACACACAGTGCACTTTGTTATACTCCGTTGTAGCTCATTGAATTCCAAGCAGTATCATCAATTCGATCGTATGATTCTGGCTCAGTATTTGGGTTTCCGCACGGCCATCGTTTTGATTTGCTATAACCCTTTACGAAAAGTTTGCCGCTCAGTGACTCTGTTTCGTGATCATTGCATTAGTTTGATATAGATAAAAATTCGCGTTTAATAATCTGCAGCTTCAGTGTGTAGCGGACGTTTTCATGAAGGGGGTTCGTAGGCGAGGCCCATTTGATTTCGACAACAATTGAGGGAATCAAAATACAAGGGTGTCCTGCGTGGGCTGGTCAGGAAAGACGAGAATGGCACAGCAGCTAGCTGCGGCTGCCCGTAGGTGTACCTCTTCGGCAATCCGAATTTTGGCGACCGTAATCACAACGGAGCTCAACGTATTTATTCTATGTCTGAAAACGGCGCTACATTCCTCGAGGAATGCGCTCTGTCTTCGATTTTTTTGCTTAGTTGCTAGTCCACGGCCAGTGCTGATCTGGCTTCTGATGGAGCCCGCGTAGGCCAGCGTAGAGCGGATACGGGCATGCAAACGACACTGGACGCCCGTTGTACGTATAGCAAACACGTTGACAAAAAAAATGGTCCCATAGAGCTTACGTTCACTCGCAAATAATGGTTGAATGATCGGCAGATTATGGGCCGTGTCAACGATGCTCTTATCGTTATGCTGCCCCTGTCACTGCTACTACACCTGCTTCTTTCCGATGCTGTAATGACGAAGAAGGAGCACATAAGGACACGGGTCAGACAGAGACAGACACAGATGCGTGCGAAGCTGTCCTTCGTCAGTTGGACATTCACTGCATTTCCGCAATTTTCTAGGTTGATTTTTACCATGCATTACATTATTAGTTAACGTGGATGAGACTCTAGCTGACGCTAATTGAATGTCGTAAATCGATTTGGGCGTTACCCGGGACGAGTTCCACATCGTGCAGTTACAGAAATGGCAGTTGTCGCAATGGCAGAGGCGGCGGCAGCAACAGAACCGAACGGAAGAGGGGCGTGGATGTACATTTGAGTAATATCTGTGTCGTATGATAATGTCAAGTTGCACGTTCGCTTGACACGTTAGGCTGAAAGCATTATTAATGTTCTTTAGTCCGGCTTGGAATTAAAATTTACGACACTCTTACTCAGTGGGGTTATTACAATGGTTAGTGCAACGGTGGCTGGCAACGAAAAGGGTTAGAGGATGTCACTTAACCTTGATGATAAAGCGCAAAGCCTTTTTAATACTCCCAATGCAAAATTTCATTCAACTCAATTAGATGGTGGATTAAAAAACTAATACGAAATAATATTGGGCTGAATTAGACGTGAGGTTCCATGGGGAAGTCACATGGGGATATTTGCTACGCCGTTTCCCGCATTTGATACCTATAGAGAATTTATTCAGTTCATAAAAAATTAGAGCGACTCCTAGTTTATGCCGAACGCCGTGAATCGCACACCTAGTTCCAGCGTAACGATTTCAACTGTTCAAAACCATCAACGCCGGCTAAGTGTTGCATTAGACTCACAGACTCTGCGTTTACTTCCGCGAATTTGCGCCCCCTGGTAACGAAGCCTCCATGAAAGGACAGGGTTGGCAATGGATCGAACGACTGTTTAGCTAACATAGGATTTTCCCCTCTAGATGGCAGAGCGCCCAGTTTTATGTCGTGTACCATCAAGAAATTCTCAAAATATTCTATCTAGAAACAGTCGACAAATGTCGAAGCTAAAATGTATGTGTATGCATAGTAAATGAGTGTTTGCCTTACGGAATAGTAGTTTTTGAATGGACTATTGATCATGAACAGGCCGTGTTACCCACAAGATATCGACATTCTGTTTAAGTATGGTGATAAAGAAGGTAATATTATATATGCGACAAAGTAGATGCGAACAAGTGATTGGCGTTGAAGTGAACGACTGCCTACTTAGTACCTATAAGCGAACTTTGATATAGAAAGACACTCCATGAGTTCCTCATTGATTTTCCTGTGGGATGAAGGGACCCCGCTTCAGTACTGATCTATTCAATCAATAGACGTTCCAAAAAAGACAAAACCCGTTTCGATAGTTGCTGGTCGTTCTCATAGGGGTCTGTTTTGCTCTTAAAGGACTCGATAAAAAAACAATCTAGTTGATACAACTGCGTTCAATCATCTGTTATATATATAAAATGGTATGTCGTGTATAAATGTAACGCGATTGACGAAGGACATTGTCCAATCATCTGTTTTGTATAGACTGTTTAAGGCCAAAAGGTGAAATCGACAATAATACTTTCCGCTTATAGGCGACTGTTGAGAATTGTTGCGCGGTAGATGATATAATATACTAAAGAATTGTATCGACATGTCAAAGGAGATACATCTATATCGTCGAGCTCCTAGAGATGATTCCTATATCAGGAGAACGGCCGCCCTGAAATGTTTTGATTTTCCGCGTATCTATTCGATATAGTGTCCTTCTAAGCAAGTCATGTAAGCGAGTTGTGCTTGAATAACCTAGAATAAAAACGAGTAGGTACTGTAACTGTGTACCTCTGAGAAGTCCATTTTCAAAAGAGAACAATTAGAGAGAGATTGTAACAATTAAAATAAAAGAAAACAGTTTTTTGAGACCAGTATTTGAATCAGTGCGAGTTCGTGGACGAAAACAGACCATCGAATGGCTTGACCTTCGAATAAATATATTCATATAATGACGCAGCTTGTACAGACTAATTTATACCGATTGAGCTCGATATATATACGGAGCAGACGGGGATCTTCGAGTTTTGCAGGACCACGTGGGACAACGTAATGCGAAAGTCTTCATATTAACTTTCAAGGTAGGTCTATTAAAAATATTGAATATGGACCTTAGCTAGATTTTGCCTAATAGAATATCTCAATTTAATGATAGTTCTTCGATATATTGTCTCTTTAAATAAAATATCATGTTATTAATAATATGATGATTTAATGTCCGGCTTTAAACAAAACCGAGCAAGTAATGTAAACGAGGAAGCTGATGCTTACTGTAGTAGCATACGAGAGTCTTCCTAGTAATTAGATTCGAGATAAAATTTAAAAAAATTAATATAATCCCACGGCAAACACCGACGCGCAAAAACAGTAACATTTCTTTGTGATAAAGGCTAATTTTATGGACCGTTTAGTCCAGGACAGAGTAAATCAATGACCAGTGTTGCGATCGTGATTATAAAGATGACATCATATTTTAGTAATACAATTATCTATAGTTAGGATTTTACAGCATCCATAGTTTCTTCATAACCTGCTCGTCCCGACCCGATAACACAACTGGTATAATCTAGAACGTAGCACGCAAGGAAATGAAAATAATACGTCAACTTCCGACATAGAATCTCGACATGCCCACGTTACAGTTTAGTTACCAATAACGTACTAATTATAAAGGCTGGTTAAAAAGTATTGCAAATGATTGTTATTAATAAACTACAATAGGCGTTCTTCTGAGCATTTCCTGCCTTCAACTTGATGGCATGTCGCAACGCACACTTCGATTTTTTACACTTTCCCCTAATTAATCATTTTTAGTGAGGTACCGTTATGATGATCATCATCCGTTACTGCAGAGGGCAACAAAAAATCGAAAAGTAGTGTCAAAATTTGCCGAAAAAAGCGTCAAACATATGTGCGGTAAAGCAAGATATTAGTATCGTAACGTTGAACTGGCTCGTCGATATTGCTATCTTTGAGCTCGGCAAGCCTATTATTTGAGTGATTGCCACGATTTTCCAGCGCCTTCTCATCGCATATATACTATATACCATAACAATACAAGGTCTATCCTAATCTATAGCACGATTTCAAATTTTATCTCCAGTTTATTTCAGTCGGCCTATTTGATTTTTTTAAATTTTTTTCACCTACGATTTTGTCTCGACTGTGATTTAGTAGAGTTAATATCTTGTTTGGTGAAGTATTCAACAAAAAAAAAAAAAAAAAAAAGGGTTAAAATTGCAATTGGTTTCGCATACAAAACTATTGGTCATAGCTGGAACAGTACGTAACCAAACTTGTGCAAGAATCTAAATGTTTTAATGGCCTTAGTAATTAATGAATTTTTAGGTTTCCAACCTATTATAATTCGTCAGTGGTATCTTAGCAGGCTCACGTAAAAAAAAAGTCAACTCTTTTTTAAATCAAATTCATTGTAACTATTTAACGTGGAGTATAGCGTGAGTATTGCGCAATTGTGAGCCTATAACCCGACCTGAATCCTAATACATGGATTAATATTCACAGAGAACGAAATCTGCTCAAAATTTGTCCGATCATCCTGTCGAAAAGCAGGAATAAGCAATCGTTGGTCTGGCACGAGATCTTCAATTCCTTCGTGTTGCTAGGTGAGTCTGTGTGGCACCCGAAACTCTGTCAGTCCTAAGGAAGGACAAAAGGCAGACTAGAAATGTATGATCTAACCTAGTACCTCCTAGCACCTTGCTCACGCGTTTACGGCTCGAACGATATATTTAATAGCCACGTATTAAGGAACCGAAAACCAATACAATAGTCGAGAAAATTCTGATGGCAAAAAATATATTTTGTCACCCAACCATTTCAAAAGCGATCATACAATACTGCTACAATCTGCTCCTGAAAATAATTCAGGAAAAAATATTATTATATGATTTAAAAAAAAATATTATTATATGATTCTTAAGTAATTTCTAAAATGATTCCATCGGTTAGAGTGCCTGAAATGTTTCTTGGTGATCTCTCACTTAAATATAATAGACATTACATAACACTGACTATAAAAATGTTTTTTTTTTTTTTTTTTTTTGTGAATAAGCTCATATTATAGTTTCACGTTACTAAGAATACGTTTTATTTGTGAAGAAGTCGCTTTAGTTAAGAAATTTGAAATAACCGAAGTTTCCGATTTTCATGATATTGTGCAACTACAGCACGAAGAAGTGAAAGTAGAATTAGATTTATGCCGATTTTACTGTTCATTGAGTGGTTTATATAGGTTTTTAAAACTCCATTTATAAGACCTTTTCACTCTAGTGGCTCAATAACGGACGTCATTTCTCCTATCAGAGTGAGTCTTGAACATTTTTGATTTAGTACTATATATAGATGTTGTGCTATCTTAGTAACGTAAAACTCTAGTAATAAACATTTTTCGATCAATGTTTTCCTAGCAGCCAATGTTCTCCATCCCTAATTATCGTTTTGTGAAGTACAAATTTAGTTGAACTAATAAATTGGCTTGGCCCATATTTAATTTGGTGCATATAGCTGGTTCAAATTAAGTCCATAACTCTTTTAGTGTTATGTTTATATCCGCTAACTACAAAAGCAGGCTTAAACTGAATGTAGGACAACGTCACGTTAGTATATTATGTATTACTATATATGAGTGTGCTGAAAAAATACTTGTGATACACGCAAGTTTGACGCAAGCGCCCGCAGCAGAAACGCATAAAAGTCACGACTTTGCGAGTTTGATTAGCCAGACCAGTGGACCAAACTACAGATGAAAATAACCTTAACCCTCGTGGTCATCTGTGATATGAACCATGTGGGTTTTTGCCAGACGTTATGAGCGTCTACCAAAAAAACTCGAACATTTTAAGGACGAGAACCCAATTGTAGGGACGTCGTCCACATTAATTATACCCGACGATTTGCTACAAAATGAATGCGGTACGTAGTACGTACAGCAGTCATTTGTTACAAGGTACCGATACGTATAACGTGAGATTATAATCTATTATTATAGTGAGATCTATTATCGTCGTACGGTCTGCGGTAGCTCAAAGGGTTCGAGCTGTAGAACGTTACGGCGATACCGGAGATGCACAGCAGCACAAGTAATTGAAAGGAAAAAACCCGCAATGAGGTTAGACAGAGCGAAAGCAACGTAAGTCCTGTTGTATTCGATCATGTTGGAAAAGGAAAAACAGGTAAGGCAGAGTAGTACGGTAGAGACTTTGCGTAAATGCGAAGGCTCCACCCGGTGTAAAGTAACGGGAAGAAGTAGCAGCGTGCTAATGAGAAACTCTTTGAGAGCAAGGAGTTTGATGGTTGGGGCAGCGTATACCGTGTGATATACAATGGCGGAGACGAGATACTGATAGACACTGACAGATATTGACAAGCCCGTTTTCTGCACCTACGGAGTGCCCTCCACAATAGCAAAAGCTATAGCTGTACTGGTAACAACGAACAACGATAGCAGCAGAAGTAGGCCCGGGCTGCTGTACGGGCTTGAGAGACTAGAGGAATATTCAGGATGAGTAGTTACACAGGCACAGTGCCTGGCGTTTCGACGACGGAGCTGAAAACTTCTGTTGAAAGCCGTTAAAAAATAACAACGAGCAAAGCTATCGGGAACGACCTGCGAAACCAAGCAGTAGGTTCCAACACGCGTAATTATTAGCCGATAAGGTAGTCTGTTCACACGGTAGGGGCCTTGCCTATCAGGAAGGAAACATACGATTGTTCTCGGTGCGCGGGTTTGGGCAGAAACACAAACGGAAAGTAAAGCACGCTCTTATCGATAGTTGTCGTGTTGTGTGGCTATTGTCATTCTGTTTGTAGGCTCGGTCACTACATTAGAAAAGCGGGAGACAATGTTACTGTTCATTGTTGCATCCGACAACACAACCTTAAGGTTTGTCCGTCCCAACTGGCACAGATCTGTGTCTTGCATTCCAAGCACAACAACTCGTCTCGAATTATATAGCATAACGACAACCAAAGCGACTAGCTTTCGGATAAAAATAATACTACGTGTTAATAATAAGGAGCAACGGTAAAGTAAACCAAATAAATGTCAATGCCACGCCTGCGTCGTTTGTTTTCTAGTATCTATACTGAATCAGCTGTATGTATTAGCTACGAAAAAACTCGTGCGGCAACTCCGAGGAGCCAGCAGAAGGTTGTACTCGGTAGGATATATATGTGAATGACATAGTGTAACTTATGTGAATAAATGATCTCTATGATAAAAATAACTTACTTTTCAAGTTATGCTACAGTTTAATGGCATGTGGATAGAAAATTGGTTCCCCTATAGAAAAAAAGAAGGTTTTCCAAGTATTCCAGGCGAAAAAGATTGTAATTATATTATTGAAAGTCTATCCTTCAACGTAGATTAGTGGATGATTACATTATAATGCAGTCACTCCTATATGTTTATTTTGTAAAATAACTTGCTTGGCAGGTAACCCTTGCGATGCTGTCATTTCTCCAAAAATAACTTCTGCACACAATTGTACTTACCAACAGCCGTGGTCAAAATCAAATTGCTGTGCCTAAAGCTGCTTACGTTCAAAAACATGATAATATAATAATAACTCAAATAAAACCTTTTCCTATTATATGAATGGCTTTTTTTTTGCATTATTAGCTGTGTGGGCCAATCCATTCTTATTTCAAATTTGTCTGCAAAGAGAGCGCCCGACCTAGCGTACTATACGTCACCTACTTAGAACAGGTATCAGAGCTTAGATCAGAGCTGCTTTATATGTTTCGAAAATCGTGTGTGATTTGTACTCGGGTGTCGGACCAACTCAGGGCATATTTGGTAAAGTCCGCACTCGAACGTCGATTGCCATATCTTTCGTACGTTTGTTTAGCCATAAAACAGGTCACTGCCTTTGTGCAAATGCTCCTTCTTTAGGAAGCCTTTCAACAGTTTCCCAACGCCTCGGTGGGCTGTTGGGCATTCCTACAGGTTTGATCTTTATTTGTGCACAGTTGTGAGCAATCCGTTTCGAAGGTGACAGGATCCTAAGGGGTTTTAACCATGTCATGTAGCAAAGCGAATTATCTATTTAATCGTGCATGTTGAATCAAAGACTTGCTCCATCAATGACTTTAAATATGGTGGACCTACTGGATACATTTTTTTGAGGGACCGACAGCGTTTTATAAGCCAGATGAAGCTTGTACAACGGAAGCCTAACTCTGAAGGCTCATAACTGCCTATAACTGATAATAAGCCTATAATTGAAGGCTTAATCATTTGAAGGTCGTGCTTTAAAGCATGCCATGCGTTGCGTTTGTACTGCATTGTTTTCGATGAGCCGTATTCGACGAAACAGATAACCGATCGAGCTGGATTTAATTCTAATGCTAGCTAAGTTCTTCTATTTCAGGCGCAAAACATTAGGTCTATTAAGAAACTTCCTTAGCTGACACACGAAGGATCAAGAATGACAGATTGAAGCATTTTTTAAGCGATCTATTTTATCATTACCTGCTTTTAGGCAACTGCTGGCTCGTTTGCGCAAACCTGTTTTTTCTGGATAAGCCAAAAAGGAGGTAATCGATCACTGAGTTTCTGTCGATTACATGAGTTCGCAACGCGAATAATAACGAGATGCTTCTGCAAACCGCAGAGCGCGGGCTTCTGCTCTGCGGGGTGCTGCTCCATGGTCACAGCAGCGGACAGGAAGCGTGCATGCCCAGACATTGAATCGAAATAATTGGCTTTTTGATCAGACTCTCTTGAACAGATCCGATATCTTTTTTTGGCCAAACGGTTTAAGAGACTTCAGAATATATCCTGTCATTGCACATGTAGTTTCCTAAAGTGTTTTAAAAGCGGCTGCACGCCTACGTCGGGGACCTTACATTCAGTTCGAACTGCATGAGAAGTTGTCGTTGCATTTTGGCATATGATCGATTTCGAAATTCACAGAGGGCATCCATACGGAGTTCTGCATGAACTATCTCAAATGACTATTTCTGTGTAGCTCGATGAGAAGCCAACGTGTTAGTAGCAGTAAAAACACCGCGCCTCGGAAGAATTGATTTAACGCAGAAGAGTATCCCCATAACCTCTAACGTCGACCTATACGCTTCGTCAGATCTAGCGTAAAGAACCATTCTAACCAGATAAGTTTAATAACGCATCCGCCAGATATTAATTTGCTAAACGTCGCCTTTCGTTCCGCTTGGGGATTTCATTTTCGCCATGAGTTACGTATTTTCCTGTCAAGCTTAGGTAAAGACATGTTATGGTCCAGGTTCGAACCCGGACATGGACACACTGTATGTTTCGTATTGGCCGGGTCTGATGGGATGCCTAGCAGCTATGATACCGAAACACAGAGATTATTATTTATTATCTTGTAGTAGGCAGTCTGCTTCGTATCCTCCTTGACTGAGAATCTTGCATATAGCTTTTATTGTACGCTATAGCATGTTTATTTGCATGAACCGAATAAAACATATATGCCACTAGTATGTTTTTGTAAATTACTCGTCCCTATCCCTTAATCCTTTCCATTGCTTGTGTTCTATTTTGGGTAATAATGTGTACCACCAATACGAAGGATTTTTATTCAGCCAGTGCCACTTCATGTCGAAGTAGCGCTGTTACATACAGGTGAGGCCTGTTGTCTCTTTTACCTTTAATTGCTTTCAATCGTTCTTTGCGGCATTCCGTTCGGCCACAAGCGTCCACAGAGACTGCTTGACGAGGCGGCGTCAGAACCTACCTCCGACAACTACAGCTGCGTTTCCTGTAACAACAAGGAGAGCGCTGTCATGGAAGCCTGCTTCGGCGTGGAGTAGCCGTCCTCGCTGTACATGTTTACTTTGAGCAAATGAAATGAGAACGGTAACTATCGCAATGAACGACCGAACCAAGCAACCAGCTAACAAGCCATCATCCTTCAGCAGCTCCCGATCTATAACTGCCGGCTGCCCTAAGCTTATCGACCCGTTTATGCATTCATGACAGCGTCCATAAGGACACTAGTTTTTCTTTCCTCAGGCTTTACTCGATTCATAATGAAAACGAAAACCGGTCCAGAGGAACCCTTTCCAAAGCTGACAACGAGAGAAAAGCTATTAGTTAGATGCAAAAACAATAAAAATTTCATGCGACTTGCGTACTATGATTTGCACAGTGCTAATTCGTGGTTCAGCTTGACCCTGTATGTATGAAGAGCGATAGGGGAATCGCTTTTGCTTATGTCGCGCTAATGTTTGGACAGGAAGGAGTCGCGCTCTACACTGTGGAAACTAGCAGCGGATCACATGCTATACTCTGGCCATAACGAGCTGCGTGAGACCGGAGGGCATTTGAAATTGAGGCTGATCTGAGTTGTTACAGTAAATTGTAAAGGTGGTGAGAGTTTCAGGCCGTCAGGGTGCCGTCAAATTGGTACGAGAACAACCGTCAGCGCATGTTGAAGGCTCTAGGCAAGTCCGGAAACAAGTCTAACGTTGACGGGCTGATGGCATTATAATCAGTTGTTGCTTTCATACCTCTAATAGCCATAACAGCAGACAATACGGCAAGCCCAAAAATATAGTGTATAGCTTACGTAGTACTGAATGTACAACCAATATCGGAGGTGTCAACAACAATAGTAATGCTAACGGAATAATATGTTTATGCAGTTTGCTAAGAAAAGACAGATAAGGTAACTTCCACAGCAAAAAGTTTCTCTCCGAATTGCGTTGACTGCTTGGAAAGCTGGTTTTAGAATAACTTATGATATTTTTGGCATCTATCAAACACAGGCCAGACCTAAAAGGTCAGGAGTGTTCGCTTGGGTTGCAACCAAAGCCAGACTGCTGATATGGATCAGCAAATATGGTCTAGATGCTTATAATGAATATTTAATCGACATCTACACTATCGTTATAGTAACTATAGATCATTAAAGTTGCTCGAGTATTGTCACTAGAGAACTGTAATAAATAGAATTATTAATTTACCTTCTTTTATTTAACTTCTTTAAATAAATCAATCTATTCATTGATCTACAGTATTTAGCTTACCGCAATACTCTGCGGGTACACATACTCGTGAAAATGTCGAGCTACTCCACGGTGTTTGATTCTTATCATCGATTCAATACCCATGACGCAGAGCATCCTCTCATTGTCCAGCGAAACGGTCACCCGAATGAGTGCAGTGATTCGGTGTCAAGAACGCGGATGGACGTAGTCGGCAGACGCGAGGAAGACCACTAATCAATTGGCCAATCTCTTCTCTGACTGTACGCGCTTTCCAGTGCAATTATGTACCACGCGTTCTTCCCATTTGTCTATCACCCCGAGGCCAACAATTTGTTCAGACAGGTCGTCAACTCGCTGACGTATTATACTACGACTAAGTGACCCTATATTCGAAAACACAAACCCAAAAACGTCCCGTCCTCTTTCATTAGGCGCGAGCTTCATGTCGTTTCTAAATGATGATTAATGGAGGTTTATTTTCGCTTCTAGCTTGCCGCTTCGCTGCGACGGGACACCAACAAGCCCGAATGTAGCGTTTGGTAATTGCATTGCATGATCATAATAATAAAACTGTTTTGCCCAGTGGATAAGCTTACTATTTAGAGCTAGGCAGTATGGAACAAAAAATGCCTCTCTGGTGTATTTCTCGGCAAAAGTGTTCGTTTCCGGTCAGATCGAGTCTGTGTACGGTATCTCAAAACAAGCCCATTTTTCCTCAGCAGTGATGTAGACGCGGCGCATCGTACGCGTTTGTCACCTAGGATCATCATTGATGCAGCAAATCCAGTAAAATTTTCGATAGCGTTTGCACTGGTTATTGTGATATTTATGCGGTGGGCTTTATTTTCAGTAAATACAGCTGGAACTCCTGGCAAAAATTTACCGCTCACCTAACGTCTCGAGAACTACCCCTTCTGACAGAGGTTGGCTTAGCGTACTTAAACAGGCACAGAGAATACGGACTCGTTCCATCCTGGTATCCTATATCATGAAAACCAGTTATCGTATGTTATCGTAGTTTTTTTTAACACTACCTAACGGCAAGACGTGAATACTCACAAACTCTTAATGTTAAAGTAAGTTATTCAATGGCGGAAGGAGTAATAGCAAAATGAGACGGGTGTTTTTAGATATACAGTTCTGTCTTATTTCCATAATGGCTGCAGTTGAGTGAGAATGAACCAGTGTGTATGGGCATGTAGTAAGACGTAGATCGATGTAAGCCCCCTAAACCTGGCTCGATTGCACTTTACATTACCCGGAGTTCGTCAGATTTCTTGCTTGGCTCGACTCAGACCAAAAGCATGGGTCTGCAGGCAGGTATTACCCATCAAACATATGTACATGAATTGTCAGCCCTTTTTAACATTAGACTTCTAAGAATTCTGAGTATTTCGGGTATTGTTTTCTAGTTTTCTAATCACAGCTGGTTTCTAGGTTATGACACCTAACTGAGTACTTTGGCTGGCTTAATGTTGAACTTGGAAATGCTTTGGCAATTGTCGGGCCGTATGGTTACATGTGCAAGCGCGCCGCTATACCGAAATATTGATGTCATTGGATATAGACCTGAAGCTGACGCTTATCTAAGGATTGTTCAACGTGGTTTAGTTTTAGGTTGTAGTGCGTCATTCAAATTTGCCCGCCTGTTTTCCTTTGGGATAGATACTTTGTTGGGAGCATTCAGGAAATGCACACAGTTTATGTTGCGCCTTATCATTTCGGTCTAAACTAAGAGGCAGTCGACAATTTTCACTCAGACACAGGTCTTTTGAAACTTCTAAAATTTTGAATTTTGTATGTGTTTACCTCGACTGAATCATATGGCACAACTAAATTTGTCTATATGGGCTGACGCGTATCGATCCATCTGTCCAGTTAGCAGGTAAGGCTTTGGTACTGTCACCAATATATTCTACCTAATACATTGATGAATATGTGAAATTGAAACGTTATCTATGCATTACGATATTCGTTCATTTGCTAATGACATCAATAATACAGCACGAATTTATCTGGTCCTACCGCTCGGCCACGTACGCTATATCGTTGTAACGATGCTTGTTTTTCTATTAAACTTAGAAACACTTGAAATGGTCTAGTTTTGCGCGTAAAAAGTGCACGCAGGCAGCGTTCCTTTCGTGCTGCGAGAGGCCAGCCGTCAAAAACAATGCTCAACCAAGGCAGTAACAAGTGCTAAGGTCGAAACAATTTATACTACAGATCCATACAATTAACGTCACGATACAACGTCGTCGTCATAGCATAGTAGCAAAATTATCACTTGGTAATGCTCAGACACGTAAGGCACACCTCGATGCTTCAGGACTTCATGAAGCAATAGAATAGGCGGTGGATATGCTGATTTTACTTTTCGTTCAACTCCTACAGATTGTTCGCATTAAGCCCGTTTATCCTGACAGATTTCTCACAGCGGTATCAATTTGAGTCATATATGGGCGAGTAGAGGTAGCGGAAATGCAATGAGAGTCTATACAGACCCAAGTGTTTCGAATTTAGCCGGTGCCAGTGTTTAGGTACTCTATCACACGGTCGGCTTCCAGTACGAAACAAGGTGTGTGCACGCGTGGACTTGAATCTAGGCCATCATGTGCCTTTCATGAAGGCCTGGGCCAACTCAGGGCACATGTAATTGATAAAGTGTTCGTTATTAAAACTAGCGAGTTCAATGCGAAGAAACTACTCACGTCAACTTCTACTTGCAGGTACAAAGTACGAAGAGCAAATGGCTCTAAAATAACCAAGGTTACTAAACCTTCACGCGTCACTACCATCGGGGCAGTTTCTGTGGTGAGTGAACGAGCAGATAAGAAACAATACTTCCGCATATTGTAAGAATTTCAGCTAAGACGGCATCTCCTCATTTCCAGCTAGGCAGAGCGAAACAGGTGGTGTTTTTGTGCGGATGAATAGTATAGACATCCATTGATGCATATTCAGACGGTTATGTAATATCTTCGTAGAAACGAAGCAGGCGATCGGTTGTATCTATGCACATGCGGCTTTGGTTGTTAAAGCAATAACCTAGCATAGGGTTTTGTACAACGCTCTGTCACGAAGCGCGTGACGAGCACATCCATGAAGTGGGGCAATAGTTCTTCGCCACAAATACGTATTTATAGGAAAGATATAGCCTATTTCAGATTTTAATTATAATATTATGGAATTATGGAAATCAGAAGACTAAGCAAAAAACTAAGCGTTGGTATAGGAAAGAAGGTTAATAGAGCGTTAAAGTTCAAATGCTTCTAAAACACATATCCTGATATCAAAAAGAGAACGAAAAACCATAACTTGGCTTGATGGACGGATAAATGCATAATTAATAAGTAAGCAACACTTAAACTGGGTAAGTTTTTAGTCTAAATCGAATTAACGCAGTTCCGAACCAAGATCATCAGAGAGGTAGAGAAAGGCTGGTATGAATTAATTCAGTATTATTGCAGTCAGAAAACGGTGGCCGAAGTTCCACACTTTTCTCGGGGCGTGTGCGCGTATGTGGGGAGATCGAAGACAGGGCGACTGTGCGCCATTATGTACTGTAGTTGTGCGTTGTTTGCCCTCGCCGTTTATCTGGTATTTGTGTGCCTGCTGTCGGCTATCAGTCCTAATGGCTAAGAAGGCTGTGACTTTTCCACCCTAACGTTAGTGACCCAACGTTCTACGAGCATCAGTATGCTGGCCGTGGATATATATGGGCTCCGCCCAAGGGCGTAGCGCGGCAGACCCGATTAGGTCACTATTGCCGGTACAGCTCTGAACATACACACTAGCCTCCAAACGCCGTTCATAATACTTTCTTTGATTCCACCAGCAGATTCCCCCGTGGAACCTAGCAGTTCTTTTGGTCTCATCGGGCAGGTTACCCCTTCTATGCTTAGTTGTCTTTGCCGTGCCTTGGTCTACCAGCCCCTTCTTTATATACGTTCCGAGGGTTTCCAAAATCTTCAACTTGTTTCCTACAATGCCTGCCCCGACGCTGCTTCGGGGAAGGCAACTCGGCTGCAAAGGAACCGCCCACACGATTAAATTGCCTTCGACACAAATGATTGTACATTTGGGCTATCGCGACAGAAGAACTACGGGCGTTTGACTATTGTATGTGTATTTCGATTTTCACTAACTTCCTTGCCATCTTTCAAGGTCTTCAGCAATGGCCTAAGTTAAAAACCTTCCATTCAGTCCCTGTGATGACTCCAGCCATAATGGAGTCATTACCGTATATGCAAGGGCCAGACAGAAGGGCGTCGACCCCCCACTAGAGAAAGATTCGCAAAAGCACCTCCAAGTGTGCAAAAACACTCTCACAACTCTGGACCGGTCGCGACGGATGATCTGGGTATAGTGTCCATTATGGCTCTACGTATTGCGAGGTGATTAAGTCAGAAAACCGTGTACTCTTGTGTTTACACAGTTAATAGAACTTCCATAGAAGAAAAATGAATGCCCACGCTATTCAACAATTGACACAGGCAAATCGGTTGGTCTTCGAATAATAGTAGAAATAATAATAGTAGTCCTAAATAGTAGATTGTAGCATAAGTCGTTGCGATTTTTCTAATTGTTTATTTGTTTCTGCCTCTCTACAACTAGTTTAGTTCTACACATTATTCTAAAAAGGTTCTTTTTTTTTTCATAGGCCGAGTGTGTCTTTGTTGTGCAGTGAACCGATTTTTAGGTGGAGTTTAAGCCAAACAGACAGTTGTTCTATTCTACGTAATTTTTGCCGAGATCAAACCCTATTAAAGCAACCCAGAATATGCCCAAAACGACCACTAAAAGGTGGGCTGCGGAGTTCTATAATGGCATTTCAGAACTGAATGATGCAATTCGCTTCGATGAGGCGTTCGATTGAATTATCGACTTGAACTAAGGCCTTTTTGAAGGAAGACGGCCGACAAAGAGCGCGTGAACTGCAATCATATGCTGATCGACAAGCATCTTGGATTTAAGGGATCTGTTTCAAATTGAAAAGGATAAATCGAATAACAAGCACAAACAAACATTGCCTTTGATTGTCGTTCAACACCTCGTCCTGCGCCGGACAACATACAGGCATCATGACAGCCTTCTAGCAATCATTGTTTCCGTAGACCGAAATGTTTTTATAACAATATGAAGCACCGAAAGAAGCAGGTAGCGTCGCGAGGCAAGCTTAAAGTTAAACTAAATCTTTTTCTTAGAAGGACCATAATTTGCGTTTGGTAGGACTAGGAGGACACACGAAGACATTGTTGAAAAACAGAGGACAGTCAACAAGGATGTATGTATAGCAGTGTCGTTTCGATTGAATCAGCCTATCCCACAAGAGAGACGAAACACGTACATCCCTCTACACGACAACCTCAGACCACACATCGAAATGGTCGCTAAAACCGCTCTTCAGAAGCTCGAGCAAGAGCCTTTTTTGCACTCACACAATTCATCACGTCTCGTGCTGACGGATTCGTACCCTTTCTTATTACAGGTAAGTACCACTGCTGGCAAAACACAAATGTATGAGTTTGACAACGAAATATTTATATATATATACATAACTATATATACACATATATAGTTACCTAGTAATTTACGTTAGATCTTAGCACTTGATAATTGCAATCTCTAAATTTTATGTGAACGACATGCTAGTAAATTGAACCTCTTTGTATATAAGATATGGGAAAAATAAAAGTTATTCCATCGCACGAACATATTTCACTGCTTCGAATGTCTGGCCTCCTTTACATTTCCATGGACCAGCTGTCCAGATTGTTTGCCGGTTTAGTAACTTCGTATTAGTTAAAGGACCCTGGCCAAAATGACTTTGCTCGTCATTTCTATTCTTGCATCCATCCACGTGCTAAGTCGGTGCTCATTGAGGTGGGAGCACTGAATGCGTCCTGGCGAAACAGTGAGTGTGGAAGCGCGTCTCGTGATGAAATAGAATAGAAAAAAAGGAGACATAGGGCAGCACACTGTGGAAAAGGAGATATACTTGGTCTGCATACTTACGTTGTGTTGAGACAAGTGTTTTTTTTCTAGAGATGACGCCCATAAATAGTGAATGACCGCACTCAGACGAAAAAGGTCACACAAATCCAAAGAAATACACAGACAAAATAGAAACAGAGACCTCGCTACTGTCCGTTGCCAACTGCTGCTTTTCGTTTACATTCATCAGTCCGTCCAACCAGTAGGACATCGGCTAGCGAGGTCTAGCTTTATGAATAGCGGACGTCCTAGAAAGTGAATTCCTGATTCAGCCAACAACTAATAGAGGAGCGCCGACTATAAGCGAGATCTTAGGTCAAATTTAGACCTGATATAGTCCTTTTTGACTATAAACTATGCCCTCGTAGTGCAAGCGCTTGCGCTTTCTAGATAGAGAGGACTAGGTTAAAAGGAACTAAAGTGTACATGATAACGGTGTTTGCTAGAATTATCTAAACTGCGAAACCCTTGACAGAGGTCATCTGTGGAATGTCAATATTATACTAAATAAAAGCTCGGACATCGGTGTCGCCATTAAGTAAACTTAAGTTGCAGATTCAACTTTCATGACGCTGAAAACCTATTCATTATTTTTTTCAGCCCGAAGCAGACTTGCCTGTTGAGGTCCGAAATACTGAGGGAGTATCTAATCTCTCCTTTATAGCGTATTTAAGCAACACTTGACGCACGATGATTAACAAAATACTAACTGCGGATTCAACAAAAAGTATTTCGGTTTAAATCCTTACCTAGAGCTGTACTTGTGGTGAATGGTGGTTATATTAAATAAACGTGACCCCCAGAAATAACATTTCTAGCATATGGAAGATTTTCGTTGAAATCCCTGTTTTTATTTAAATAAGGCCCTCAAAAAATATTTGTGAACATCCCAACTTTGTGTGCCGTACCCTGTATTTGAGAGAAAAATCAATAAGAAAATAAATGTGAAGATGACTGCGATCTTAGAAACTCAATAGGTGGCACCTAACATCGCGGGGCGATATGGAGAAAAGCTGGGACTTCTGTTGATACTGGCAACGTTTTTGATATTTTCATTATTTCGTATTAACCCTAAAACCTAGGGCTGCCGTATTCTACAACAAAGATAAATGGCAGAGTGCCAATAAATGTTGGATAAGAGAATGGCTCAGAACGACGTTCTTACGAATATTAAGCGGGCGTATTTTAAGTACGTGGTCTGTCGCCCCTGCGGCATTGTTTACGGTTATATCGCATCCGTCGCGTTAACTGGTAGCCATCGCGAATGCACGCGGGTGACGATGAAACTAGAACGTGTTCTGCTTTTCTGTTTGTGGCGATTTGCCTGATGCACGATGATACATAGCTGCATGCGGAAGCAGTGGCCGAGAATCGAACCAGTATAGGACGAAATCTGCAATAAAGGTTCTATTTGAAGAAGGCCGGCAGTTTCCTGTCGCCATCAGTTGATAACAATTGTTGTATTGCTAACTAGCGAACAATAGCATATGTATAACTGCTAAAATAAGTGCATTTCTCCAATTTTCCATCGAAAGATTGACGTAGAAAATCGATGTGATAGCCAGTCGAGACTCGGTGCTTCGCCTTGTCCCAATGAACAAACGGCAAGGCAGCTTTGGTAGGCAAATTATGCTGAAAGCTATACCATCTCAGGTCAGTTACTCCCCCCACCCTTCTACCCCCTATACCTCTGTTTCTTTTTGGGCAAGCGTTTTAGAGAGGAGTGAACTCTTACCTATCGCATCGCGTTGCGCTATGGCTTGAGTACTGGCGTGACATGTTTGTGTTTGGCCTCTTGTCTGTCTAGATGCGTTCCGTGCGATCCCGATTAGCCAGAGAGTAAGCAGCTATCATCATTTCTTTCTGTAATCATCAATTCAAGTAGAAAAAAAGTTATAGTGTGTTTGTTGTTTACGAGGCAGCAGTGACGCCATTGTAAAAGAACAGTAATAGCACGTAAGAAATAGGACTCTATCAAGTGTAGATTTCGTTTTTTACAAAGGCTCAAGTGAAATACCTTACAAATCACCAAGAACTACAATTTATTTCTATGGAGACGAGGTCAATTAATTATATAGCTAATAGATCATGCTGCGATCTAAATTGAATGGGTACTAATTTAAAAATGGATCAGAGGAGTCTTCTTTCATGATAATGGAACACCATAAGGAAGCCGCGAGTACCGTGTACCCCATGCACTGCAAAATACAATATTACCACTTATTCCGACTGAAGCTCTGCACGTAATTGCAAAAGGTGCCTAGTTTTTTTTTGTGAAAAATTTACTAACAGAATTTTTACGACTTTTTCGATAATAAGACTGACGCTTTTAATGGTATCGAGGCTTGGATTGAGACGATTAATTATAGTGTTAATTTTATATAAGCGAGTACTTGATTCTCTAGCGTTGCTGTCAGTCACAAACAAGCTTGCACAACGATCAACTGGGCATAGTGAAGCACGCGATTAACGACTCCTCGATACTGTTGGAAATTGGCAAGCCTAAGCACATTTGCCTGCAGGAAAACCTACTAGTGGGTTGACGTTCGTTCCACTTTGATAGGCAGCTTTTGATATTGCAGGCGCAATCTATATATATATATATATATATATATATAGAAAAACAGCGTTTACTGTAGAGACGGTACTTATTAAAAATACCTGTGGTGCTTCTGCAATATCAAAAGCTGGTTTTGTCCAAAGGGAATGGATGTTAGCGATACTTGAAGGAGGTACAAGCGCGACGTTCGTCTATACGGATAGATCCGAGAATACCAGCGCTAATAGGGAAATTAATGTAATTGGCCAGCTGATTCATCGCGGAGTTTTGACCATGTGAATGAGTACCCATATAATGAATGAGTAACCATAATAAGTTTACGTTTTTCATACTTACGTTTGGAAAATGAAGCTTTGAAGGTTATAGTAGATTAAGACTAGACATCGGACGTGTGTAAGCCATTCAGAGAAGGAATGATCACTGATATATCGCTGAAACTTAAAGCTAAAGTATTGCTAAGTATTACCCTTACTGGGGCTGTGTCGACGTCAACAATTACTACCCCAAAAAAAACCATCTTCTCGATCTTTGTTAACCTCCACGCTCTTAGCTGAAGCGTTTCGTGTGTACGACAGCATTACAATCCTATTTTAAGTTCTGTTTGCCTGAAAAAAGCCTGTGATGCGCAGACGAACATGTAGATGCCCGAGATCGTCGCAGGGGACCTTCTTCTGTTTGCGAAGGCCGAACTGTTCGCAGCGCTACTTCTTTAGGTCAGAATACGCGTCTCGTACACAGTCAAGTAAAGGGTGTAGCGGCGTATGCCTAGTATCTGGGCCAGCATAAGTAGCATGACTAGAAGGCACACATAAAGGCTAAGACTATCATAAATCTATGTGGAGTTAGGCCAACTTTATATTTAAAGCTTTTAAACGCGCACAAAATAGGTCTAGACAGCCCAGTCAGAGACAGCGGAGTCCTGATGTTGCCGACAATACCGATACTGAATCTGACTACTACGGAGACGATTTTGTTGGTGAAATTGAATGCGATATTTCCGCAGTAGATGAAGTGGGATGAAGGTTCCCTCATCAACCTCTGTAGTCAGATGCGGCAATGCCCAGTTGAGTGACTAATATAAATCTTAAGGACCTTTCTAAGCTCATGAGCATGATGTATGGGCGCGTAACATCATTCAAATCTAATCATCAAAAATATTTTACCCATACCGTTGTCTATACGAGGCCCAATATATACTAATGGCATTTCTTTCCTGACAGTAAAAAACGCACCGTGGTTATTTTTTATGTAATTTATAAATATCCTCCCGCAGCGCGTACGCACACGATATAACGCTTCGTAAAGTCGACTATGACCTGTTTAAAGTTATATGAGACATTTACCCGTTTAATACCGATACGAAGCAGATGGCGAAAAAATAATACAAAATTCTCGTTTTGTTTTTCTTTCTATTAGAATCGATCACGTAGCGCCGGCGAGAAAAGCCGAAATCATAAAAAAAAAAAGCCGTCCAGTATTTGCATCTCTATATATTTCATGATATGGTCAAATAAACGATACAAACATCGTTCAATTGCACATAAACAAAAGCCAACCTATCTTAGTTATTACCCATATTCGCCTAGTAGCTGCAATAATCACTATATAGATCTCTACAGAAAATCTATACAGATGAGATCTATGAAGTAGCTGACGCTGTGTTCCGCTGCGTACAGAGTAGGCCAAATAGACTGTGAGAAACAGATATTATGTTCGCCCTGACCGAATTCTCACTTCAGTACTCCTACGATTTTTGTTCGCTCTTAGAGCCTTATTGCTTACATTACTTTTGGCCTGGCAAAAACTTGGACAAAACTGAAAGTGTGAATTGTTTTTAAAGTGGTCGCAAAACAGTGCGAAAGGGACCACTTTTGTATCGTACGGGCGTTTTCCAGCATCCCTGTATAATTTTATCTTGCAAGTTCGACTGGGGGAAGAACAGATTACAAATAATAGTTAAATCTTCCACTAGGTGAGACAAGTAGTTAAGGCTGTGTGCCGAAACGCTGACGGCGCATCTGTTTATATCAAATAATGCTGTTTAACGGTTATCCGGAGTATGAGATCCATTACGCATTGACAAAAGTATGTGATCAACTAAAAGAAAAGAAGATACTTCACAGCTGATTACCTGAGCGCAAGACACGGCACTACGAATATGTTTCACGTTGACGTTATAGAATTTATACTCAGTTTTCGCTGCAAGTCTAGCTCGATTCAGATAGGCTCTCTGTCGACTTAAAGCCGTTGACCTAATGTCGACCTAATGACCATATATGAAATAATTTAGGACTATGAACTCACCGTTTAAGGTTTCCGAATTCAATCATGAACCACGTTCAATTTGTCCCTATTTATTGCGTTTGTCGCGCATCTGTGAGGAACATCTAATTTAATCTCATCCGAAAAGTACCGTTATAGGCAATTTATTCATTCACTTAGTAAAAGCATAGATAAAACGAAGCTCTATGTTTACTCCGCTTAATCTGCTCTAATTACGTTCAGAGTTTTGTTTCTCAAACGCGACTATGAAGGGCGTAAACCTTCCGCTCATTTACCGCATAAGGACATGGCTAAGATTCCGCGACGAGTCAGTCGCCTAAATACATCATATCTCCTACTGGTATTTGCACATCTATCTGTATAGACAGACGCCAAGCCTATACCCGCCTTAAATTACGCTATATCTGTATAAAATGAAACGTTTAAAACTAAATGCAGATGTAATAGGTATACCCTTTTCGCAGGAGTGAGTAAATGCCCTCGCCTTCCTCAGAAAAATGAGGGAACCTGTCGGCTGCGAACGGACGTTTTTATCGCGTCTTTATTAGCGACTCGATGTGAAGTAGGATTTCGATGGTGACGGAAAAAACCGAGTAAGGTCAGAACAGATGTCTTCCTCTTCGGAGGCACTACACCAACGGGCATTGTCCAAGTGGCATCAACTCTAGAAATAGACCTAAGCGATCACAACTGAACGGTAAAACGAGGGAAGGTGTGAAAGGGGCATATACACAGAGGGATAATAGAAAAGCTTTCTCGGTTCAAACAGGACAAAACAACTACCATTGTTAGACCCAGAAAAATAAAGCTAATTTTTAAGCAATGAGAAAATAGACAATTTAGTGATGATTGCGTCTCTAGTTATAAGCATAGCCAGATAGCAGTCTTTTACTTGGTCTATTATCCATTTATCCAAATCGAGTAAGCGGCAATTGAAATTAAG